TGATGATCCGATTAGGAGAGTAGATGTTTTAGATTTGACACTTGTTAAGAAAGGCAGAGGTAGACCTAGGAAGACTTGGGCTTATTGTATAAAAAATGTTCTTAATTTACTAGAACTAAATGAAAATATGATACTAAACAGGACACAATGGAGAAAAAGGATTCATGTAGCCGACCCCACGTAGTGGGATTAAGGCTTTGTTGTTGTCGTTGTAAACTACCACGGATACTATAAATTTTCACAAGTGTGCCTTACCCTTACCAAATTTCAAACTGTACTAAAATAAAAAAAACTCTTAAACATTTTTGACAAAATTAATTATCAGCGTCATGAAAATTGTCCCTGCTAATGTCTTTGCAAAAAGTAAATAACTCTTAAAAAACTAATCTAACATCCAATCCCACTCACCCTGCATGTTCCAGCAAACATAATGTGAGATCCTTTTGCTTTTTTGTTTCCTTCTACTAAGAAACATCTAGTTCTCATGGCCCAGAAAATCAATCCAAAAGGATGACAGTGTTAGGAGGGAGGTATTTTCATATATAATTAGTAGACATTTTCTTTTGTTCTGCTTCTTAACGGTAATCTAGTAAATAAAGGGTCTAAGGGTTTGGGCTAGCTTTCCTATAAAAAGAAATAGGGGATTTTTTTGGAAAATTTTATTTCATTTCAAAAGTTGAAAGAATCCCTATTTGGGGGGGGGGGGGGGGGGGGGCCGCCCCGATAGTGGGAAGAAAACGTAGTGAAGTCCGGGATTTCGCCAAAATCAATCTACTAAACTTTCATCTCTCCATAGCATTCTTGAACCCCCTTTCTGCATTTCTTGGGGCTGTCTTACCAAATTTTGGCTGCAAGAAATTCAAAACAGAGCAGAACACATTATTTGAGGAGAGGTGACGGAACAGGAGGCCATAGTTGGGTCCAACACCTTGTCAAGATTGGTTTGCTTAGATCTTTAGCATTTCTTAGTTGTTGTCACGAGGTTTAGTCGCTTCACTTCACAACTGCAGGAAGTAGAAGTTCTTGTTTTAAACTTGTTGTCCAGCCAAGCTCAAAAGCAAGAAACCTCAATAAACCGCATTACTACCACCTTCCAGTATCCAGCTTACTAGAAGTCACTGACAGTTTAATCTAGCCAGCAATATTGAGTTGAATCAAAGACTCAACATGTTGCAACGATAGTTCTGCAGACATTTTAGTATGGTCAATAGTTCAACCACATAATTCCTGAAGATCACAGCCGGCTTCTGCTTCCTGAATTCTAAAAATAACTGCAAGTAGAGGACCCCAAAAACAATCCAGATTACGTTTATGTTCAGGGAAAAAAAGTAGTGACAATAGTGTGAAATCATTGTATCTAAATTGGGGTGTTACTCCAGTTTATTTATAATTTTAACTCCTTTACAACCTTTCCTTGCCATAGTTCGGTATCAAAGAATTTCTCAAGCATCTCAGCCAAACTCATGTGTTCTCCTTTTGAATTGTCATCTATCTCATATATTTTAGGGAGCTCCAAAATTAAAGAACATACTGCAATTTAAGAAAATGATTGACCATCAAACTGGAACTTAACGGGCTTACTGCATTGAGCTTACTTTTTCACAATAAAAATACAATTAAGTTAAAATGATTATTACATTAAATTAGTATTATACAATAGTTAAGGAGAAGGAGAAACCTTACATCATATTATCAGTAATCTCCCAACTATTAAAGACAAACTTTCTGAAATTTCATTACCATTCATTTCAGTTTAGTGATGCACGAGTTTCACATGGATGTTGTGAAAACCTTTTGAACAATTTCAACATAATGTTTTGGTAAGTTTATCATTTTTCCTTCATGGTCCTTTGGCACTAGTTTTGACTACTCATCCAATTGGTACATTTTCTATTTGCCCATATCAAAACCTCTTTGATCTATTTTATAATATGTCATATTCAATAGATTTTACTCTCACCGTTCATCTAATATAACATTCCTTAATTTAACCTTCCTAATTTTGCCACATAGCCCTCTTAACATTCTCAATTTTGCCATGTCCAATTTGGCTATCAGTACTCTTTATCACCCGACGACTATATGTTATCATATAAAACCTAGCAAGTCAAACTGTTGTTGAATAGAACTTCCATCAAAATCTCTATAATACACTCATATTGTGAAAAATTCTTGACACAATTTTTATTTTAAACACCGTGTTAGCGCTACAAGTGATATCTATGTTATCATTCTTTATCTAATAGGTACATGATGCTTCAATCTATCTTAGCTATTAATTTATCTTCTAATAATATAACTAATAATTATCAATATCACCTGCTATAATTGAAGATTATAAAAATTGATAATTATTTCTTAGTTTTTCATTTATTTTAACATATACAACAAGTATAAGACTATGCCAATCTCCAAACGGCATATATGTGACTTCACTTTCAATATCATTTATACGAATCTTTACAACCAATATAGAGTTTACTTCCAAAAATTACTTCAAATATGAGCCAATACTTCCAAGCATCAATAATATTAACGTATCTTTGGCACAGAAATATTTTATTTCAAGGCTTATCAAATTAACTATTAAGATGTTGTATCATAAGCTTTTTGAAGATCAATAATAATCATACAAAGGTATCTTCTATACTCTATTTTTCCAATAATAATCTTAACAAAAAAATGGCATCCATACCGAATTTTCTTGGCATCATATCAAATTATTTTTTGTATACCATCACGCACAGATATATATTAGTTCTATTATTATTATTATTATTATTATTATTATTATTATTATTATTATTATTATTATTATTATTATTATTATTATTATTATTATTATTATTATTATTATTATTATTATTATTATTATTATTATTACTCTCCCATAAATTTATAACATGACTCATAAGTTTCATTCTCTAATTATCATGAGCTTGAATAACAATTCTGTTAACAAATATAGGTATCAAAATGCTTACTCTTAGAATAAACATTACCTTTTGATCATCGAAATTCAAAGAAAATATTTATGAACCAAACCACTACAATATCAACCAGAGCTATCCAAATCTCAATTAATATCCCACTAAAGCTAAGCATTTACCTTTACACATTTTCTTAAGAGTGACCTCCAATTTTTTTTTATAATTAATCCTATTAATAAACATCAATTGCATAGTTTAATCCAATAAAATAATTTCCTCCTTAAATCTCATATTTAATCAATATTCAAAATATCACTTCCGTCTTAAATTGACACATTCATATTTAACTCAAGTCCATAAATCATATTACAGAATCTTGATAAAGATATTATTTTTCTTTCATCCACTTTCAACATCATCAAGCCGATTAACTCAATTAGGGTTGGATTATGAAATCCTCATTAACTCCTATAAGATATCTAAAGATCAAAAGCCTACTTTGTGCAAACAATTTTGGATAACTACTATCCAATATACGTTTTGATGTACCAATTTTCATTTCTAAACTTGTATTAATTGTTAATTAAAAAATAATAACAATAATAAATAACCAATGGGACGCGTCGATAGCATGGGATCAAAAATAATATCAACCATAGCTATCCAAATCTCAATTAATATCTCACTAAAGCTAAGCATTTACCTTTACACATTTTCTTAAGACCGGCCTCCACTTTTTTTTTATATAATTAATCCTATTAATCAACATCAATTGCATAGTTTGATCCAATAAAATAATTTCCTCCTTAAATCTCATATGTAATCAATATTCAAAATATCACTTCCGTCTTAAATTGACACATTCATATTTAACTCAAATCCATAAATCATATTACAGAATCTTGATAAAGATATTATTTTTCTTTCATCCACTTTCAACATCATCAAGTCGATTAAACTCATTTAGGGTTGGATTAATAAATCCTCATTAACTCCTATAAGATAACTAAAGATCAAAAGCCTACTTTGTGCAAAAAATTTTGCATAACTACTATCCATGATACGTTTTGATGTACCAATTTCCATTTCTAAACTTGTATTAATCGTAAAGTAAAAATAATAACAATAATAAATAACCAAAGGGGTCTGTCGATACCATGGGATCAAAAACAAAAAATGTTCAAACGAGAGCAAGCTCCGTCTTGCTCAAAAGTGAACATAGAGAACGGGAGAGAACGAGAAGTGTGAAAATGTAAGAGGAATGACTGAGGGTTTCGAAACCAAGAAGAGGAAAAGTCATTTCGAGAAAGTTGATTGATCGTTGTGTGCAGAAGTCCCGCGTGAGATAAGAGAGCTTGATCATGAATCATGCAGCTCATGCATCTCGAGTGGATGAGGCGAAGACGCCATACGCATGAAGCAAAGGTGAGAGAGAAGCCACTGCTCGCAGTGGGGTCATGTGTGGTTGTTTGCGTGTAAAAGCCAGCAGGGGAGATGAGTAGGTCGAAGCCTTGTGCACTTGTGTGTAGGGATGGAGCCTTCGAGTGTCGCATGTGTGACCTGTGTAGGGACGACCGGGCCAACCTTAAGGGTAG